TCCAGGTTTGGTAGAATGATCTTGTCCTGAATTTTCTCTAACACCTCTGCTGATGAGTGTGCTACCCATATATTATCCACATGTGATTCCAAGGCTATACCTTTGTTCTCCAATATGCTATTAACACCCGAATTATCTTCGAAAATATCCAGACTGCCTGCGACAGTTCGAATAGTAATACCTAGTACTGATACCAATTTTTCTCCACTCTAAACCAAGAAAGCGACAAGCTTTCTTGTTTATTAATACATGGTAATAGCTATCCCTCAAATCTAGTATAATCATTGACCAATTTTTTCCTATTGATCTTAATAGACCACCCAAACCTTTGAACCGGAATGACTTTTCTGGTAGTCGCTCATTCAGTCTTCTTAAGTTGATTACTAAACAAAAACATTTTGGTTCCGGTTTTGGCACAAGAAAAATCAGAGATACTTCCAACAGAGCAGTTGGATGAACCAAGGTTTCTCCTACTTTTTTATTGCTTACAACCTTTCTAATTGGCCAATCTCTTTCTTTAACTATTCTTCCTGGTCTAATGGCAACCTGTAGGGCTTCTGAACTTTGCTCTCGACAAGGCTTCACACGTTTTTTGGAAAAAGAGGTACTTAGTTTTTCAACCAACAAGCTACTACAGGCAGTGGGTTTATCTTTCCAACCAATATCTCACAACAGCCAGTTCGTGAAACTTGTCTACTACTTTTCTGTCCTGCTCTACATTGTTTGTTTTTCTTTCTTTTTCTCTAAGTGTAGTCACCCACTTCTGCCATTACCTTTCCTTTAAAAAAAAACATTATTTTTTATACCATTTTTTGCTGATCTTGAGGCACAAACCGTGGCTGTATAGCCTGCACTACCACAATAATAGCAAGAAAACTGCTTACTTGATGCTTTGTTAAACATATTCTGGTAGATTGGGCCTGGGTTTGAGACCACTTGGTTTTGGTAAGCTAGAACTGGGGTTGAGAACATCTCTTGGCTTTGATAAGTCTGAGAAAGTGGCTGTTGTTGATTGTATTGATGGGGCAGAGGATAAGGAGTATAGTAATTTCCTTTAGAGCTTCTATTCCAGAACTTTATCCATATGTTTGCCAGGTTTGACAATTATAGAGAGCCAAATATCTTTCTTGTGGTTTTGCTTATTTTCTTGCTTCTACTAACAGGTCCTTAAATTCTTCACCTTCACTTGGCATTGGTTTTGGGAGTTTTTTTACCACCTTCCAACCTTCCTCTTCAGCCACCCTTAATTGTTCTTGTACTTCTATAATTTTTTCCTTTGTCAACATCACATATAGCATCATACTCATATTGGTCATGAGCTTGTATAAACTTCTTCTTTGGAAAGTTTGTTTTAAATGCAATGGGCCCATTTACCTTCGTTGACCATTGTTGTAAACTTTTATTCAAAACTCTTGCTAACGATTCTCCTAACCTTTTTTCAATTTTTTCCTCCAATTTATTGTTTATGTAAGAAAAAAAGATATTGTTATGCTCTTCTAACTCCTTTGGCAGAAGAAAGCAATCTCTTTCTTTATAATTTCTGCCAAGGTTCTTTTCTACTAACTTTCATTTCCCTATTTTTGACTGTTCTGAGTCTTTGTCGGGTTCATTCCAATAGGTTTCTAAGTGGCTTATTAATTTCACTTTGCTACCTTCTGTTTTGATACTGCACTTCAAACACATTGCTTTTAGGTTGGTTGTTTTCATGTAGTTTCAATCCACTGTAATACCAATTTCCACATGTGAGCTCATTGCTTTGCTAGAAACTTCAATAGGTGTATTCGAATTTACTTCTGTCATACTCAGTTTGCAGAAGAAAAAAAATATATATATGCTTATTAACGAAAGAAAAACTTGGCTTGTTCAATGTAGTTGAACTCAAATGTTGAGCAGAAAAAATTAAGAACACAGAATCAACAGATCATCAGGTTACTCAAATACTAGGCCATTGCATTTCTATCATGGATAAGTCCTATGACTGATTGTTACTCGGGAGGTCCAGTAACTCACAATAATGTCTCACCTTGTGACCAGTGTGTGGAATTCAAATTTTAATTTATGTTCTCTAATGAACATTAAATTTTTTTATTGTTCTCAAAAAAAATATATTGTTCTCAATAAAGAACATTTTTTTTATAATAATGTTCTTAATTTTGAAAAATTGTTCTCAAATTTATATATTAAAACATACACATATTGGCAGGTTTGCAGAATGTGTCTAAATTAAGGTCCCTGGATTTAACATTGCAGAATGCATAATAGCTAAAATTTTGGGGTCAGTTTTACAATCGCATTGTTAAAATATATAGATCTTAATATAGATCAATTCCGAAAATTCGCCAATATGCATTAACATAATAATTTGAACCCAAAACTTGACCAGTGCACAATATCTATTGTAAAATACTGAGGGTTTTGGTTAGGACTGTTAAGTGGTCTGACTCAAACCAATGGACTATGGACTGAAAGAACTGCTAGTCCTAATATTGGTTATATTAAATTATTGTTATAGGTAATTGTATAAATAAAACATAATCTAATTCTGCGATATTTGATCTGATATTAAATTTAGATCATAAACATAAATAAAATATCTAATTCTAGTCGTGAGAAAACTTTTTATTAAGTTGATATAAAGTTATATGCTAAGAAGCAAATACTTAATTACATGTTTGGTGCTTATATATAACTGTGGAAAACCCAAATTTCTTTAGCATAAATCTCATGTATGTATAATTAAACCAATATGTATAGAACAGAATTGGCAATTTTACCAGCCAAACATATTTTTGGCCGGCCGAAAAACGGCCAATTCGGCCAAATTCATATGTTTTTTTGGCCAAATGGCCAATTTTTTTGGCCAAAAAGGCCAACAAATTTTGTTTGGCTGATAAAATTGCCAACACTGGTATAGAATACCCCAACCTCATATAGTGACTTTTTCAATCACGATACTAATTTAGTTGGATGTTTAATTAACCAAAAAAATAAAGTCTTAAACTAAATCGTTACAATACAGTATTAATATGTTCGCAAGCTATTTGAAAAAAGCTAATCTGGGACACTTCAAGAAAGAAGAACCCAGTGATCATCACGTCACATGAAATCATGCAATTACGTATATCATTTGTTTACTAGCACTAACAAAACCGGCCTAAACTAACTATCACCTAACCCTAACACTAACTCTAACTTAGGCTGAACGATTTATCTTATGATGTGGTGATCCCTGGGTTCGCTGTTCTTTTTTGAGAACTATAAATTAATTATTTGAGAACGTTGTATATAAATCTATGTTCTCACTGAGAACACCATATTCAACAAAAATGTTCTCAAATAAGAGAACATTTCTTAGGTTAAAATGTTCTCAAAAATATTTTTATGTTCTCTGAGAACAGTGAGAACATTGAATTTCACACACTGCTTGTGACTCCATTCACAAGTGGCTCAATATACCTGATTAAAAATAGTTTATACAAATAAAAATCTATGCATTAGATAAATATAAGTTTTGTCGACTAATTCTTAGATCCGAATACGTATTATATTGTCAAAAAACAATCATTTTTAAATCACTAAAGCTATGAGTGTTATAACGATTTACCAGGTCATAAATTTACAACCTGGACAAAACTGATTGAACATGTACTATTTATCATCCATTAAGTATTGAAGTGCACAGTGCACTATGTAAATCAAATTATATGTGGCAATAAATAAAATTTAATAATAATCTTTTTTTTATATAGAACTTGGATTTTTTTATACCAATCTTTGTAATTTTGAATAGAGGTATAGCTCTAATGACTCATTAACTTTAGTTAAATTTTATAAAGGTCCAATAAAGTATCTTCACAAAGTTTTGATGTCATTTCTTTCACTTACATAAAATTTTTAACAAGCTCAAAAATTTATATATAAAAATTTTAACAGGGTCAAAAATTTGTGCAAAAATTTTTTAATAGATTAATGAGACTAAATTGAATCCTTTTTTGAAACAGCTTATAGCTTTATTTGTAGATATGTAATATAAGCCTTACAAAATTTAGCCAATACAGGACCCCTGGATACTAATATGTTATATATATAAACCTTTGTCTTCAAAACTTATATAAGTGTACAAATAAATTTTATTATGAAGCGTACACTAACCTTAAAGCTATATATTTAATGCACGACAGAAGTTTAATATAAGTTTTCATACTGTAATAAAGTGTACAGATAAAGTTAAAGCTAATATTAAACTAATATTTAAAAATATTTGAGTCTCAGAATTCTTCGGATATTTCTCAAAATTTTAGCCCGCCTTGCTCATAATTTACGTTCCTATTCGGAAATTTTCGGGTTACCATATATTTTTAGATATACTGTACGATATACCAACTCAACATAATAGTAAGTGTACGCCATACTTTTTATTAATAGTATTAATTAAGTGTACGTTAAAGGTCAAGCAAATTTTTGCAACCGTACGACAAATCTTTCGAAAAATTTAGTTTAAGTGTATGACAAGGGTTTTTGTATATATTCAGGGGTCCTGCCAAAACTATACAATCATTAAAGCTGTACAATTATCTGCCTATATAAAATCTTTATTAATAAATTTCATTACATGACAATTTGCACTGATTGACTAAAATTTATAATTAATAGCGATAGAATAACCAAGATCGCTCACGCGTTATTCTTCATTTTTTATTTTAGTTATGGACTTCAACAAAATTTAAAAAATTGCTTAGTGTAAAGTGTAGTGTTGATTGTTAAATATTAGTACTAAAATAGTTCTATCATACATTAAAGAAAGTATAATCAGCAGTGTCTTAGTTCCAGTTGTGAATTTAATTTTTTTTTTTTTAAGTCAAAAAGTGTAAATTACAATGTCTATTTTGAGTAGGAAATTCACCTTTATATGATCCCTTTTGAAAGTTTATCACTATTGAATTTTAGTATAAATTAACCATAACTTGTAAATAAACTCTATTGTTGACAATATAATTCCATCAACCAACATAAGGTATATCAGAAATTTCCCATCGAAATGTCATATTATATGTCATATACTCATTGCTAATGCTAATCACACAACTTTTATATACTGCGTCCGGGTGAACAGGAATATCTGGTTTCCATTCCATAATGTTATATATCTCAGTTGCTTTGTTCGAATTATTCAATTCCAGTTTCAATTTAGGATTAAAATAAGGACCTATATAACAATCATATATTTGAAAGTATTTTGCTCGATACTCTTCAAGCGTTAACTCCTCACAGTAACCAGATGAAGTTAAAATTTTAAATTTTTTTTGACTTAAATATAATTGCCATTGCTGTTGCCGTTCTTCTTGATATTCATATTTCCTATCTTTATAATTTGCCCAAGTAATACATAATTATTGAATAGAATCTAATACTTCGTTTATAGTTGGTCGTTCTAAAGGATTTTGATTCCAGCATTTCCTTAGCAAATCATAAGTTGGAGGTGCAAAATGACACGTCTTTGGTCGAAAGCCCTTAAAAATATCTACTATTAAGTTTACATCATGTGCTCTGTTCGAATATGCAGGAATTCCACAAATTAGTTCCCATAAAATAATACCTAGACTATAAATGTCACCTGGCTGAGAATACGGAGATTGAAAATTAAGTATCTCAGGTGCAACATTTGGTATAACTCCATAAATTTTTTGATCAAGCATCCGCGTTTCATTTACCGGTCGACATAAACCAAAATCTGATATAAAGGCATCTTCTTCATTTAATAATAAAATATTTCCTCCATGAAGATCTCCATGTAACCAACCTTTAGCATGAATATTTTGAAGTTCTGCACATATAGATTGTGCTATATTTAATTTGTTTTCTAGAGTTAGTTTATAAAAATTTTTCTGCAAGAATCGTCTAAGATCCCCTTGTGGTGCATATCGCATTACGAACATGTATTGTGATGTCGAAGGGTCTTTAGTAACTCCATATAAATGACAACAATTAAATTGTGCTTTAATCTGCATTTAAAATGACATTTGACTTAGTATTGGCCATAAATATATTTAAAAAAATTAAATGCTTATAATCTTTACCTCCTTAAGAAAGAGATGAACTGAGTATTTTTCGCCTTTTAATTGCTTTAGGGCAACATCGCAGGGCTCAGATCGAGTATGATATTTGTCTCCATCTATCTCGGAAAAACATTTTACACCTTTATCCCATTTGGCGGAATATACAGCACCGAACCCACCTCTATTAATAAATTTTATTTCACTTAAAGAGTTATAATGAATCCATTCAGGATATTCAACATAAGTTGATGAACGTTGTGCGTCTTTAATAAATTTATCAATTTGTAAATTTCCACTAGTCCAGTTAGAAAACTCTTTTTCTAATACATCAGAGAGACATCTGTCACATACGGACGGAGGGTCTACAAGCATATATTCTGATGTCGAAGGATCTTGGGTAATTCCATATAAAGTACAACAATTATTTAAAAATTGGTGTTGTGTTTTTATAAGTGAAAGCTGATTTATATCTTTTAATTTTTTTAAAACAACTGCGCAAGGATCTGATCGAGAATAATAACGTTTAATATCAGATATTTGCATTCTTTTCCCTTGGTTCCATTTTGCAGAAATTACTGCACCGAATTCACCTCTATTAATACATTTTATTTCAGTAAAAAAATTAAATGGAATCCATTCAGGGTATTGTATGTAAGGCAATGATAGTTGTGCCTTTTGTATGAATTTATCAATTAGTAAATTTCCACTTGACCAGTTAGCAAACTCATTTTTTATTACTTCATGAAGGCAATCGCTACATATAAACGGAGCTTCTATATCACACTTAACACTATTTTTATATTGACTACAATCTTCGATTCTTTTTGATAGGTATCGGCATCCTAAACATAAGCTAAGGCATTTTTTGGTTCTTTTTTCTAAAAGACTATGGACGTGTTCCATTTTCAGTTGATACTTTGGCAAACTTTAGGAATTTGATGCATAAACTTCAGTATATTTACACCTTGTTAATAGAGACTTCGAAAAATTTATTATATTTTACGTTTGTGCGGAACAATAATTTTGACGAGCTTATACCATAGCACAAGATTCTATTGTGAATGCTGGAGGTTCCGTTTAATTAAGATGGTTTGCGGCGTAGTTTAAAGCGGCTGGAAATTTTATAATATAAATAAACAGTATTATTTTTCCATAAATTTTTAAATTTTGTTACCGAAAAAAAAGGCAGGTTATGAAACGTCGAAATTTTGTACCTGGCTTAGAGTTAATACCTCAATCCGGATATATTTTTTATATCCGGATTAATCCGGTTTTATCATAGTATAAATCCGGAT